ACACACACACACACAACACAACACACACACACACATACACACACATACACACACCTGCTCCACAATCTAAAAACAAAGCATTTATTATTTCTAAATGGCAGACACCATTGTTGTTGTTGTTGTTGTTTCAGTTTTCAGTTTACTACTTAAGACTAAAATCCATCGACGTCGTCACTTGTTACAACAATTAAAGCTGCTATGACAGTGTGAGTTACTCTGAAGACCAGCTTTACGGCATTTACATCGCCTCGAACTACACTTTTTGGCACCAGTACAGTTACATCTTGTGAAGCCTGGTCCACCTGGAGAGGATTGAAAAATCACCGCCGAACGCAGTGAAACTATTTTTTCGGTGTTTATGTCGTCAGTGTTCAGAAGACGCTCAGGGCACAGATCGAACTGATTTCTGGAATACAAACCATCTTTTACGGCTATATTCTTGTCTGTCAACTATGACACCAAGGGTATTTCTAGCATCGCCTCTCCCTCGATCAACAAGTGGAACTGGCACTCAAACGTTGTCTCCTTGTTTGCCAGCTGGCATATCTATGTTACAGTAATAACACGTAGATCAATCTAGTTAATACGCGTAATCACTGAATATTTAAGTGAAAACGCGTAATCCCTGTACAGTGGCGGGGCTATTACATGAATTCACTGAATGCTCAGTAGTAAAAACACGTGAAATGATGGGTCTAATTTTAGGGAATTCGCGTAATCACTAGAAATTTCAGTGATTACGTGAAACCCCTAAGTGAAACGGTGAATACGTGTATTCACTAAAATATTCAGTGATTACGCGTATTCACTAGGTACGCATTCTTATTGTAACATATATATATATTTAGATCTTTTCGTAATCTTATGTAAATAATTATGCTTTGCTTGCTCAACTCTTCCTGAATTGTTTTCTTCTGCAGTCAACCATGACATTCAAGACAACCTGTACACCAACTTATCCTTTGAAGTGTCGCAGAAACTGCCGATCGAACATGAGAACCTCATCCGAAAGATTTACCGCACAGATACGGGACCCGACTCCGCATACTTTCAGAGCCACGTGCACTACGACCAATCGTCTATGGCGGAAGTGGTGGCCAAGAGGGCAGGGGTTGATGACGTCATAGCCGCGCTGCAAGAATTCAAGTCTTGTTTTCCAGGAGTCGTCTCGCAGACTACAATCGAAATGACGAGAGCGTGTTTAGAGAGTAGCTCTCTGAGCTCCAAGCCTTACGTGTATGGTCTGCAGAACCAGGGCGGTGATTGGTCCAAGTTTGAGCTGACAGTTCGAGCCAGCCTGAAGGAGCCGCTGCTGTGTAGTGTCTTTGTCTCCCGGCGGATGAGCTGATTTTCTTCGAGGGATGGATATGTTTAAGAAAAGCTGATTCTGTACTGAGATAATACGTGAGCCATTGTGGTGAAATAAGGCGCTCGTAAAAATAATGATATAGAAGAAAACGTAATTTTTTCGTCTTTTCGGCAATTTTTAATCGATTTCTTTTTTGTGTGTGCTCAGCGCCTTTTAGGTTCATTTCAAAAACACATTTTCTGTGTGGATTTTACTTACAAGCCTTGATCAAAGGCAGAGGACTTGTAAATTTGCAGACACTTAGGTTTTGAAACTCACGAAACTTTGGCGGCAATTTTCTTGCTACTTTTGTCTCTGACAACAGCTGAGCCTACTCCTTTCACTTGCAAATATCGCGACTTCTATTCAAGATAGAAGCGTAGATCTTTTTTTCCCCCCTCAGACGCAATGAAATAACAAACTTTAAGATGATATCAATAACCCCCCAAAAACCGACGAGCGATTGATTCCACTGCGTTGTGACACATAACAATATGTTTTAGATAACCCAATTCTTTACTGAGATGTATATGCATAGGCCTATGTTTTAGATCAGTCTATTCTCTGCTGAGTAATGGTTGTGTCATACATCTAGTATATATTATGAACTGAGTAATTATCTACGGAGGACTGGTCGTTATTTATGAGCTGGTTCTCTATTGAGGGATGGGTGTAATAATTATAGAGGAGTCTATTCTCTACAGAGGAATGGAAGGGCATATAATAATAACAATCATAATAATGATTATTAATATAAGTATATTTTTTTTCTAAACAAAGGAATTGATACGCTATAAAGGAATGTATATGTTGTAGATGAGTTGCTTCTCTACTGAAGAAATATATAGACAAGCTGATTCTTTTCTGAGGATGATTATAGATTAGCTGATTCTCTACCGAGTTCTGGATATGTTATAAAGGCATTAATATGGTAATGTTATAAAGGAATGTACTTGATATATATGACGTAATCCTCTACTGATAAATGGATTTGTTATGCCTACAGACGAGCTGATTCTCCACTGTGGATTGGGTATGTTACAGATTAACTGGTTTTCCTACTCAGGATTGGTTATGTTATTTTTAAAAATGAATGTCCTAGGCAAGCTGATTCTCTGCTGGGGAAGAAACTATAGAATAGTTGAATCTCTATAGGGAAATTGATATATAATAATATATATGTTATTGATTCGCTGATTTTTCTACTGAGGAATGTATATGTATGTATATATTTGTATATTATATGTTATAAAGGAATTAGTATGTTTTAAAAGAACTGATTCGTTTTTGTTTGTTTTTTAAATTATAGATGAACTGATTTTCTACTTAGACATGGTTATATTAAAATATAAAAAAATAATATGCTTTTATGAAATATGCATGTTACTATATTTGAGCCAAGCCTACACCTTGGAGTAATTATATAGGGAGAGGCCCTAACGCTGCGTCGCCCGCTCAACAGTTCCAACCAAGTTGAAGCCGACAGGGCGGAGTTTATCGAGGCTGCCGCCATCTTTGTAAGTTCAAAACAATGCAGCGTACGCAGCGTAATCTCTTTTCAAAACAAGCTGCGCTGACTCAATTGTCTCTCGAAATTTCTTTGTCAATGTTAATTACAGCATTATGAGCACTCACGTACAGTTGTAATATAATACGGATGGTACGAAAAGTTACTCGCATCAAAATACCAGCTCACTTAGTCGCATATTTACTGTAATACATGTACTATGTATACAAATTGTAATGGTAAGATCATTTTTATGACATGATTTAGAAAAGAAATTGGGATACAAAGGACCACAACAAAAATATAAACTGGATAACAAAATTTGCAGAATTTTCGGTCATAGAACTTAATCAGTGGAAAATGATTGATCACTGACTTTATTCTTACAAAAACATAGATACTTCTTGGCTTTAAAATATAACAACATATATTTCTAACAAAATGATTCCACAAAACATGGAGTGAGGGTGGGACTGGATGGGCAAAGAATGAGGAAAGAGAGAGCAAGGCGGATGAGACTGAAGTATGATTGGGGAAATGACCCCCTCCTCTCCCCCCAAGAAAA